AGCATGAGAGGGAGGAGGGTCAGAGGGAGAAGCAGGCCTCCTGCGGAGCAGGGAGCCCGATGCAGGGCTCGATCCCAGGACCCTGGGATCATGACCTGAGCTGAAGGCAAACGCTTAACGACTGAGCCACCCAGGCGCCCCAAGAGTTAGTTTTAAAGGATGTTTCTTTAACTTCAAAATTGTTTCAAAATCACTAACTTATTGTGAATTCTCTTAATCTTATTGCTTCCCTAATATTAGGAGAGATCTTTTTTGGCTGAGTGAATAGTAGTTGTTTTGGTGCTGAGAGGACTGGACAATATAGAATGGGAAATTTGGGAGTATATCTATAAAAAATTAAATTTCTTTTTTTAAGACTTATTTATTAGAGTGCACGCATGAACAGGGGGAGGGGCAGAGGGAAAGAATCTCAAGCACACTCCCTGCTGAGCATGGAACCTGAAGCAGGGCTCCATCCCACAACCCTGAGATCATGACCTGAGCTGAAATCAAGAGTCCGATGCTTAACTGACTGAGCCACCCAGGTGCCCCTAAAAAGTAAAATTTCTAAGTTATAAGCTTATAGTTTACAAAGCATTTTCACAGGCAGTTTATCAGCTTAATATGTAAAACCATCTTGTGATAATGTGATACCCCTGTTTGATGGATGAGAGAGTAAGAGAGGTTAGTGACTAGTCACCCAGTACATGGAAAAGTTGGAATTCAAAGCTCAGACTCCTGATTACAAGTCTGGTTTTCTTCCCACTATCCATAGAGGTAGTAGGGAGATAGTTCCGGATTGTAGGCCTGGAAAGGTGTAGTATTGAGAGGATTTGGGCAATGAGGGAGAGGTATGGGTAGTGTTAGAAGAATCATTCGAGGTTTGCTAAACACTTAGTATATGCTAAAGTCCTTGGGGATTGAGAATAAGAAGATAAATAAAACTTGGTTCCAGGTCTTAAGAAACTTTCAAAAGGAAAAGAAGTTTGCTAATGTCTTATTTAACATAATTTGCTAGGCTACTTTGACCTTGGTTTGATGCTTTCTGACAGAGACCAGATGGAGGAAATATAGATGCTACACATCTTTGAAAAGCTGGGCATCATATTAGACTTTCGTTTTTATCACCTGCTTTTAAAAATTGAGATATAATTCACATACGAGGAAGTCCAATTTTTAAAAATGTACAGTTCTGGGGCGCCTGGGTGGCTCAGTCGTTAAGCGTCTGCCTTCGGCTCAGGTCATGATCCCAG